AATGTTGATTCTTCCAATCCATGAGCATGGGATATTTTTCCACTTGTTTGTGTCATCTATGATTTCTTTGAGCAGTGTTTTGTAGTTTTCATTGTAAAGGTCTTTCACGTTTCTGCTTAGGAAGATGCCAAGGTATTTCATATTTTTTGTGGCTATTGTCAATGGAATTGTGCTTTTTATTTGGGTTTCTGTTTGCTTATTATTGAAGTAAAGAAATGCAACTGTCTTTTGCACATTTACTTTATATCCTGAGACTTTGCCAAAGGCCTTTAACTGTGTAAGGAGGTTTTTGACAGATTCTCTTGAGTTTTCAAGGTACACAATCATGTCATCTGCAAAGAGAGATAACTTGACTTCCTCTTTTCCTATTTGGATACCCCTGATTGCCTTCTCTTCTCTGATTGCTCTAGCCAGGACTTCCAATACTATATTGAACAGGAGGGTTGAGAGTGGGCATCCTTGTCTTGTTCCAGGGTTCAGGGGAAATGGTTCCAATTTTTGTCCATTTAGGAGTATGCTGGCTGTGGGTTTCTCATACATGGCTTTTACTATTTTGAGGTAGGTTCCCCGTATGCCTAGATGTTCAAGGGTTTTTATCAAGAAGGGGTGCTGGATTTTATCAAAAGCTTTTTCTGCATCTAATGATATAATCATGTGGTTTTGTTTTGACATCTGTTGATGTATTTAATTACATTTATGGTTTTACAAATGTTGGACCAGTCTTGTATCCCAGGGATGAAGCCTACTTGGTCTTGAGGGATGATTTTTGAGCCGTGTTGTTGAATCCAGTTTGCTAGGAGCTTGGTGAAAATTTTAGCATCTATGGTCATCAAAGATTTTGACCTGTAGTTCTCTATCTTTGTTGGGTCTTTATCTGGCTTGGGTATCAATGTGATGTTAGCTTCGTAAAATGATTTGGGGAGAGTTCCATCTTTCTCAATTGTCGGAAATACCTTTAGTAGAATTGGAATCAACTCCTCCTTAAATGTCTTGTAGAATTTTGCTGGAAAGCCATCTGGTCCAGGGCTTTTTTTTGTAGGTAGTTTTCTTATTACGTAGTCAATTTCCTTGATTGTTATTGGTCTATTTAGGGTCTCAATTTCTTCTTGTGTCAACCTAGGCAGGTTGTGTGATGACATAAAGTGTTCCATTTCCTTGAGGTTTTCAAGTTTGTTTCCATACACATGTACCAAGTAGTCTCTAATCATCTTTTGTATTTCTTCAGGGTCAGATGTGACTTCATCTTTTGTGTTTCTGAGTGTGCTTATTTGGGCTTTTTCTCTCTTTTTCTCGGTCAGTCTAGCTAGGGGACCATCGATCTTGTTTATCCTTTTGAAGAACCAGCTTTTTGTTTCATTGATTTTTTGTATTAT